CGCCCCCCCCCCCACCAAACCAAAGGCCATTTCACACACACACACATCTTATTTTACGGTCCGGATTCGGTATGTGGAACTAGTAGGTGTTTGTATAGCCGGCGGAACGAAAGGGGGGGGGGAAGCGGGGAGCGGGGAGCGTGGGCATGCCTATTCTTCGCATCCTATATTCTTCCTTCGGCCCGAGAATACAAGGTAGTAATGGTTGCTGGGTGCCTTGCAATGCCGGTTCCGGGTATATATACATATATGTGTACGTGAATATATATATTTTGGGGGCGGCTCAACATGGGTACGTGGATAAAATGGGGGTATGTATTGTGCGACCTATCATTCTACCTGGGGGAAAACTTCCTTTCTTTCGCTGTGAGGATTGTAGTTATTTATTACAATTTTCCGTATCCTTTCTTTACCCCGTACTGGGGTTTCCTCTGTGGTAGTGGTTGGGGGGGGGGGGGGTAAATTTCAAACATACCCTTACAGCAAGTAGGATACGAATACTGTACACACGTGGTCGATTGTACATATGTACTGTGAATCCAACACCCTTCAATCCTGGATGCCCCGGACTCAAAACCAGCGCGCCTTTTCCTCAACCCACGTGAGAAGAAAAAGACACAGCATCTTTGATCCTTCTCTCATTCTGACTCCCACACCTTCCTTGGACAGAAAACGGGCGCGCGTGGGGGTAAATCCAAATCGCGCCTCGCTCATCTCACCATTTTACACTGCTGACATCAGACGGGCGCGCCTCGCGCCCATCCGTCCGCTCCCTTTTTTTCGCGCGGAAAGATAAAGTGTTCAAGGTATGGTAAACGGTGAGCGCCTGCCCGCTGTGGATACGTAGCTTGGCCTGCATGCGCACGTGTGCGTGTATGCGTTGCTGGAAGAAGGGAAAGGAAAATGGTGCAGTATACACAAGTCTAGTATAGGTAGTACTACCACGTGATACGCTTATGCGTGTGCTTATGCTTCATTGTGAATGTACGTATGCAACACGTGAGGAAACCCACATTGCGCATACAACCTTTTTTCCTAGTCGCTTTTAGGTAGGGGGGTTTATGCGAATGCGATCGTTGCTTGCTTATCAACCCGTAAAAAATACACTATTTTACGTTATACGCATCATCTAGTCTGCGATGCCGATGATCGAGTATCACGTACCGCGTATAATCCCCCCTCCCCTCGTATCCCAACCAACATAACTTGGTAAAACGTGGACGGGGTACGGGGATGTGGGGTGCAGTGGCAACGGTAGTCTGAGGGTGAATGTCACACGCACCCTCATCATCCATATACCTTGCAAGAAAAAAGATAAAAAAATAGGCCCGCGATGATGGGGGGTTGAGGTTTGTAAAGGAACGCGCTCCAGACTTGTCACCCCATATAAAACGCCTATCTTTCGGGTTCCGAAGGGGGGGGTCTTGGGGTTTGGAACTAGGGGGGTTGGCGGTGGTTCATCCTGTAGTTCGGTACTTCTTTTTGTGTCTGGGGGATAATAGGATAGGGTAGGGTAAGGGGGGTGTGGGGAGGGATGGATGGATACACGTGCGCGTGCGACGGGCCGGGGATGGAGTAGCAAGTAGGTTACCTTGTTGATTTGTGAACTTGCCGGGAGTATCTTTTCTACCGAGGGAGTGTTTGTGATCTACCGGGGTGCGTGTTTTAGAAGCGGGAAGGGGGAAGGCAGTAGGGAGGGTATACAACGTGTTTGGTAAGGATGAACCGGATGGATGGGTGGAAATGGTCACACGCGGAGTATTTTTTTCTCCGCCGCGAACATGTTCGATTCTGCGGTTTTCTCGCGATTTGCACGATCGATGGAGTTTGTTGGTGATGCGTAACCTGTTTTGTCCTCGGCGATTTTGGTTGGTTCTTTTTTTTTGAGGAGCAGCTGATGAGGGATGTTTGTTTCTGGTGGATCGGGGACGGAGATGGAGATGGAGAAGACGTCATTGTTTGGGGCGTTGATGAGAGCGGCGGGTCATGTGTTATGGAGAGAGATGAAATCGAGATGGATATGTTGTCTTGGTGTTGGGTACTAGCAAGAGTTGAGAACATGTTTGGGTTGATGGTGGGGTGGAGTGGTTTGCGATGACGGAAGTGGATTTTGGTTCCTTGTTGGCGCGAGGGAATAGAAACAGGGAATGCTAGGAACTTCATGTTAACGATTGCAATGAAACTTTGTGACTAAGTTCATTTATCATCACCTTATTTCGTGTTCATACTATATTTGCCCTTTACCACATTTCACAAAGTCTATTCCAAGATTCACTCAACCCACCATCCCATCTTTCCTTCCCCTACCATCCTCGTGCACAAAGCCGTATCTCGAACTATTCTCTCCACCCTCTTATACAATGTCTTTTGACACAAAATATGATATAATCTTCTTACCTACCTTCCTCTCCAAAAAAACAAACTCATGTTAATTTCTTTGTGATCGTGAGTCTAGATTCAAAAATGAAGTCACCACATCCATCATCCCTTTCTTTTCCTTTTTTCCTGGTCCAAGGGAAACAGATAGGATTTAGAGTGAAGATTTGTGGATTCACACCATCTTGTGATAGTAAATTTTCCTTTTATTCTAGGAAGAGAAGATCTACATTCAAAGTATCAAAGACTTTTCTTATTCGACAAGATAGGTAAACAATTATCTTACGGCAACGCTTCAAAGCATCTCGCTCCAGTCACTCACAAAAGTCCCAATGTTGCTATTACTATCCTTCATTTCTAAAGCACACTCAGCCCACACAGCCAAGTATTTGGGTATCTATACAAACAACGTGATACGAAATTCTCAAACCCCAGACACCAAAGACACCTCATTTCCAAAAGAAAAGACGCCCTTTTTTCTTATCCACTCCCAGAAACACAATTTTTACTCAACTCAACAACACTCCAGAAGCCCAACCACTGTATCAAAGCCACAAAACACCATGGCCAGCATCACTTCCGTTAGATGTGTGACCATTGCCAGCCGCAAAGCTCTTCCCACTACCAGTAGACTGCCCGGACGATGGAGTAACCTGTGATGATCGGATCCGAGGGCACGAGGCTTTGTACGGGATCAAATCTGAAATGTCCGCAGGAACATCTTTACCTTCAATGACTCCTTCAATCACCGGCAGAATAGCTTCAAAATCGGCCAAGACACGTTTTGAATACGGCTGGCTGTATGCGAGATCGTTGAGTAGAGCCACCACATGCCTGAAAGAGTCGATGTCAGTCTGGTTCCTCGAAGAACCATTGCGACCCAGGAGCGAGCACAGAACCAGGAGAGCGTTGGATAACGAGGTAATCATGGAGTGGCGAAGGCTAAAGGGACTTCGTGCGTCCTGTGAAAACGCAGCCATTCGACTGACAGTGCTTCCTGCCAAATGGGAAAAGTGAGCTGCATGGCTCTCGTTGTATTGCAGGGACGTGATGACTGGACGGAAGCCCCAGAGGACCAAGTCTGTCTTCTTCTGAACCAGAAAGGCTTTTATCGGTGACTCGACGCCAGATCCTGTTTGTATATAAGGAACGCGCAACTCGGGAAGATCATGGTCGAGAAACTGGGTGATTTGCGCATCGATGGCCTCTTGGGCTTGACCATCTGAGCTACGGCTCTCCATGGAACAGCCAACGTAACGCGCCCAGAGAATCATGTAATGTAGGTACTGATTCATGAAAATTCGTGGGTCTTGTTCCAGATCAAGTTGCATGGTAAGTATTGCCTGAAGGGGATTAGGATTTTGGGCCAGATTGATAGTCTTTGAACTCACCCGATTGAACAACTCCATAGGCAGCTCAACCTGGATATCAGCTTCATGAATGCTGTATGGTCTTCCACATGACAATGAAATGAAGCGGTCTACAATGAAGACATTCCAGAATACACATATGCGTTCATATGCTTGTTGCGTCGTGATGTCGGCCCACGTAGACTGTTGGTGAAGAGAATGTTGAAAAACGAGCCGACCGGCGATTCCAATGCTGCTATATGCAGGACCAGGCATGTCAACAAACGTGTAGTACAAAGCCTGTTTAGGTCAGTTGGTTTTCAGCATGGCAATTGAGACGAATATCGAACTTACTTGAAAAAGAACACACTGAATCAGCGTCAGGTCGCCGTTGCCGCTAACCAACGACTTCTTATCGAGGAGGTCGTCAGCTAATTCTGACCACCGCCAGCCGGCAGGTTTACTAGCGTCATGCGGCGAAACATTCAGCAATGCATCGCAGCAGGCAAAGACGATATAATTGAAGGCAAGAAAGTGACGTTCTTCAGGCTGAATGGCAGCATTGGCCAACATGTGTTCGCCGCGACTACGAAAGTCCGTCTCGTCTATGCAGGGATGAGACAGATGTATATCTGTGAAAAAGGACATCAGGTACTGTTGATATTCGGTCGGGCTGGGGAACGACATGGCCCGTCCGCCCAGGTGGACGAGATGAGGAGCTTCGACGATAAGGGAGGATTCGGGGCCGGACATGGTCGAAGACGTCGGGTTCGAGGGCTCTTGGGAAAAGAGGGCTGGTTGACTCATGAAAGCGAGGGCTGGATTGATGGGATCCAGTGGCGGAATAGGAAATGCAGCAGCGTCACCGCCTCGAAAGCTGTCGCTGGCACCATCATCTCGCTCCACGCTGTCCATGGGCGTCATGGTCAAGCCACGGTCGCGCATCAGAGCCTCCATCATGGCCTCGACGCGGGCCATCCGCGCCTCCATGGTCATGCCACGGGAGCTGGCATCGCTCGTCCGGCGCGCTGTCTCATCGTGTGGCAGTAGATTACGGCGCGAGTTACTGCTGCCATTGCCGCTGGTAGTCGATGACTGGGCTTGAAGGGAGGGAGTTGGGCGACTAAGATGCTGTAGAGCTTCGGCTGCTGTCTGGTCTTCGGAAAAGAAACACCGCTTGCCGTTATCGACACATCGCTGGCAAGGGTTTTCGCCGGAGCACTGGAGAATAGTCAGATCATGTGTGAAGGGGCTCCTGCGGTAAAGCCATCAGTCGTGAAAGAGTCCGTCTCGCGCCAGCCAAGCTTGTGAAGCATTCGGAAATGGAGCCGAAGATACACAACCATAACAAAGACATGAGCAACGGCCAAGACGTACCTTGAGCTTCGACCGTCTGCATAATACGCCTATACGTGATTGTCAGCTAACAATTCTGAACTTCCACCCTTGGTGTTGCTGCCATGCGCGTGCTGTGTCGAGCGGCTACGGAACCATCGGAATGCAGCATGTGAAGCCCCAAGGATGCCGGGAGAGGTCTAAAAGAGCCCAAAGGCGCGACGTACAAGCTTTGGGCGCGTATTTTTGGCGGACCTTCTTGCGCTTGGGTGACGATGACCTCCGTTCCATGTCCATATGTTGTATTAGTGAAGGATGGCTGTTCATGGCGCGACGACGAGGTTGGAAGAAGGAATGCGCTCCCCGAAGCTATTTCGGAACGCAACCGGGATTGGCCTCACTAGCGTCATTCTGCTTGTCTCGGATGCAGCCACTTCAGCTCAGCAGAAACGCCTCATCAAAGACATTGTTGGTACCGGATGCAGTCGTAAATGAAAGACATACTGAATAGTCTAGGTATGTGAATTGAAGTCGCCTATATATGCAGAAGATGTCATTTAGCCGTCTACCGAACCAGAACCCTCATCGGGACAGTATGGAGAGGGTGCGTATAGTAAATATAGGTATTATGGTTGATTCTAGGATGCTCACTGAACTTACTTTGCCCAACCAATCCGAGTCGAGCTCATCGGAATAGTTCAGGTTGCCCTTTGGTATTGTTACTTCGGCTCATCCTCGCTCAAGTTATAATGAACATACAAACAACCTATCCATATTCAAATATCACAACAGCATAGATAGAAGGTTGGGGACACGAAGTAAGCACCTGTATCTAGAAATGTCAAACTACGCTGCTGTCATACGTTCGTTAGTGTCATGCGCTGCAAAGTATGGAGGTACAGTATGTATCATCATATCAGACTGCCCGACTTTGACGTCAATCATTGCTCAACCCCACATACTGATGGACATGCACATATTGTGGATTCGTTCTGTACTACAGCGCTGGTGAACCGGGTGCATGCTACGGGGATCGGCTATCGAAGCCGCGTCATATAGCAGATGCTTAAGCAACAAGCAGTTAAACCCCCGACTCTGTTCATATGCTATACACGTAAGCCTAACCACTGTATCGGGACACAGCCTCTCAGTTGTTCCATCACTGGCATTAAACAAGAATGCAATGTTTCAAGAGACCCCTTCTGGTATTGTGTCGGAAAGATCAAGTCCTAGCTGCCGTTACCCAATGCCTGCATGGACCCGCGTGTCGAATGCGCTATATTCCTATCGCATGCAATCAGCCCACTCGCTCTACCATGTCGAGTCCGCCACCACAATACGAGGTGAATTGGGGCGGATTTACGTTGGTGTACAACAGTTGCGAAAAGCTGTACCGTGGGTGGAGTAACTAACGAGAATTAACTTTGGCATCGGCAGCTCCGTGGCTGGTGAATGCACATCACAGGCTACTCTATAACACCATGCTATTCCCAGTCTTCATCTCCGCCACATTGACTGCCCCACAAGGTAACCGGGTGAATGTCGCGGGTTTCCATCAGATAATGATTAGATAGAAAATTTTCATCTGATAACCCGCGCGTCCCCGTCCGCGTCTCTCATTGGCCAGCCGCTCCGGTCGGTGCCGGGGGAGTGATCAAGATAAGATTTTCCTCACTGGCTGGGCCGGGCTTCGGTGAGCTTAAACCCGGACATTCACCTCCCAAGGGCAAGGTTAAGCTTCACTTGCATGCCACTAACTTCTTGAATCTATCTTCACCCTCACATCAATTGCTCTTCCCGTGCGTGGCCTGAGGCTACACATCCATGACCCGCCCATGTTACCCACCCAGAGGCAAGGTTCTTCTGTGGACCCCGTGGAGCGCTGCTGGCTATATGAGCCTGCAGCTCAGGCGAATGCTTGTTTGACCAATCTCTCTATCTCCTCATCTTTGCTCTAGGTGTGCATTTGCACCATCATTTGTCAAGATGGGATTCAACTTCAAGGGACTGACCAGCAGTGCTATCCTCTCTGCAAACACTTCTCCCAACACTGACAACAGGGATATTGCCGATGTCCCAGCTTCTGTTCAGGGTCATACCAGTATGGAGGCTGCTCGTCCTGACGAGAAGCTGGGTACTCCAAGGGGATCTTCGCTAAGCCAGAATTCCGACGAGGAATTGAACAAGGTCGACACCACTGCTGAACAGGGTGTACAGGCAGTTCAGGCTGCCTCCCTCATATGGAAGAAGAGGGACTTGATCCTCGCATACATCTTGTACGTATACACTGCCAACACCATGGCTATCATAACCAGACCCCACTAACGTATCTCAGCATGTGGCTCATCCAATTCTTCACTGCCTATGTATCCAGCACTTCGAGCACCCTCTCGCCTTACGTCACTAGCAGCTTCAACCAACACTCCTTGACAGCCTTGACCACTGTCATTTCATCCATTGTCAGCGGTATCTGGAAGCTCCCCTACGCTAAGGTCCTCAACATCTGGGGCCGACCCTTCGGTCTATCCCTAGGTGTCTTCATCTACGTAATCGGACTTATCCTAATGGCAAGCTGCAACAACGTCAAAGCCTACTGCGCTGCGCAGACCTTCTTCTACGTCGGCTCCAACAGCATCAACTTCTTCATCACCGTCTTCATCGCCGACACCTCCAAGCTGAAGAACCGAGGTCTCTTCATCTCGTACGCTTCCTCTCCTTGGCTCATCACCACTTGGGTCTACGGATACGGTATCAACGGTATCACTGCTAACGGCGGTATTGGATGGCGCTGGGCCTTTGGCATCTTCGCCATTCTCGCCCCTATCGTCGTGTCCCCTCTTATCGTTCTCTTCGTAATCTACGAGGGAAAAGCACGTCGCCAAGGCCTCATCACTCCTCGCCCAAGCCGTGGCAACTTCACTCAAACTGTACACTACTACCTACGTGAATTCGATGCCGTCGGTCTCTTAATCCTAGCAGCCGGGCTCTCGCTCTTCCTCCTAGCCTTCAACATATACTCGTATCAGGCTGAAGGCTGGAAGTCACCCTTGATCATCTGCTTCATCATCTTCGGAGCGCTACTTGTTGTTGCCTTTGGCATGTGGGAAAAGTACGGCGCTACAGTCACGTTTATACCATGGCCGCTGCTCAAGAACCGTACCGTCATCTTCACATACATAATGGCTGGTTCGCTGTACATTGGCTGGTACTGCTGGGACTCGTACTTTTACTCGCTACTTGTCGTTCTCTTCAACCAGACTGAAGTCCACGCTACCTGGATTGCGAATATCTACACAATGGGCAGCTGCTTCATCTGCATTCTGTACGGTGTGGCGCTGAGGTACTACGGAAAATTGAAGATTTACTCCATGTTCTTTGGTGTGCCCTTGACTATGCTGGGTGTCGGTCTGATGATCAAGTTCCGCCAGCCTGACGAGAACATCGGGTACATTGTCATGTGCATGATCTTCATTGCCTTTGGTGGCGGTGTGTTGGTTATCTCGGAACAGACAACGCTTATGGCTGTCTCCAAGCAACAGGATTTCCCTGCTCTCCTTGCTGTCGAGGCAATGATCATCGCGATTGGAAGCGCCATTGGATCTACCATTGCCGGCGCAATCTGGACCGGTGTCTTCCCTGTTCGTCTCCAGGCCAATCTACCCGCAGATGCCATGAAGGACTTCAAGAACATCTACGGCGACATGAAGGTTCAGGCTAGTTACCCGGTTGGCAGCCCGACTCGCGATGCTATCAACCTCAGCTACGGCCAGACACAACGGTACATGCTTATTGCGGCCGTGTGCGTCTACTGCATTACTCTCTTTAGCACTGCCCTATGGGAGAACGTCGATGTGAGGAAGATGAAGCAACGAACTATTGGTCTGTTGTAAACAGTGTTCACTTTCAGCCATATATAAATCTAGATGAATCTGTATATTCTGGGTTCTCAAGGATGAAAAATTAGAAATAGTCGTACAAATCACATATACAAAAGTAATCTAATAAATTTCCCAGTCTTTCGAAGTAAAAAATTCCGTAGAGTGTCAAAAACGCCGCTGCTTCGATGCACGTCTTCTCCTCTTTGTTTTTTTCGTATGAATGAAGGGTGAGGAAATGCAAGATGCATATGTATATGCAGGGTATAAATGCAAAGGGGAGATATTGGCCGGGTTGCGTGAGCAAGTGCAGTAGTGCAGGTTGATCAAACCAACATTACAACCACCGCTCCCAACACCGTCAAATACCCCAGCACAACCCTCACCGTACCCGCCGCAGCATTCGCCACACCTGTCTGTTCAGCCGCAGCCGCTCCGTCAGTAACACTCGACAAAACTACAGGAGCAAGCTCTGCCGTCGATGTCGTCGTCGGCGCCCCCGTCTTAATCGGTTTCGCCGCCACATTCTGCGTCGACGTGGGCGCCGCCTGCACAACAACGGGCTTGCTGGGTCGAACACTCACATCACCGGTACTCGCCTTGGCCATGCCCGCAACCCACTTTGTCACTTCGGCATTGTGCTTGACAAAGTAGTTGAGGTGCTCGGTTACGTCTTGCGGCTCGGATCCCACGGCGCAGATGGGGTCGCCGTAGTGGCAGTAGTCAAGGAGGACGTCGGCGTATTGTGTCAGATTTGCGAGTTGCGAGGGTGTGCGCGCGCGGGTGCCGTCGAAGTCCTTCCCGCCGCCGACGGTGAAGTTTTGGTTACGGGAGCGGGAGACGGCGCCGAAAGTTACTGCTGCGACGACTGTTTTCTGTAGCGTTAGCTACATGTAAATGTTTATTGGTTTTTTTTTTGATATTTGGGGGGGATGGTTACCATTTGCACCAGGAGCAACACTAGCATCCAATCCCGGATTATCACCTTGCTCGCACTCAAAAGTCGGTCCGCCGCCTCCCCCAAGCATATCCTGCGCTACCGACCCGCCCTGCGAGAACCCCAGAACAATCAACTTGCTATCCGGACATTTCTCACTGTACATGCGCATCTGCTGCTGCCCGTTCTTCGCGCCTTTGGTAGCGGAATCGCACCATGACGTCTTTGACCATGCGGAGCTCTTCGCGGGGTACTCCACGTCCTCGTATCCGCATTTAGCGGTGCCGCCAATCGCGCTGCAGACTTGCTGCGTTAGGTTACCCAGACGCCCGGGGTATGGTTCGTCGGAGCCGCGCACGACGAAGATGTGGAAGGGTTTGCAGGCGTCTGAGTTGAAGGACAGGATCGATGTCGTGTTGCAGTAGACGGCGGGGTATGGTGCATCGCAGCGTTCTTGGGCGAGGACGAGGCTGCTGCCACTGAGGGCAAGGAAGATGGAGACAAGACCGAGTCTCATGATTGCCGATTGTTTGTGTGTAGGTATTATGGATTATGGTGATAAGGGCTCTTTTTTTCTTCTCTTTCTTTGTTTCTTTCTGGTGATAGTAGAGGGAAGAACGAGTGACGATGGCTTGCTTTACTGAGCAACACAACAACCTTGACTATACCACCATACAGCAAAAAGGTCGAGATCGGAGATGCAGGGCGCAACAAAGTACTGAACCAACTCTTCTCTCACAAAAGAATGCAGGGTAGAAAAAAGAAAAAGAAAGAAGTAGTATCAAAAGAACGAACGAAGAACTAGTAGAGTCAGTCCTACGAGAGCAAAGGAAATCAAGTGCATGATGTATTCACTCCCTTTGAAAACAAGGCACAGCACACAAAAGCCATAAATGTGCTCCACTACTCCATCCTCGATTTCGTTTCCTCTCTAGCCCTCTATTTCCACACTCACATGCTGGCATATTCAAGGCGGCTGCCCCCAATTGTTGGTTGGCAGTGTACTTGTCTAGCCCGGTTGGGTAAAGTGCGATGCCGCCAATACGGCATGACGGCACGACGCCAAGGATGTACACGCCACACAAACAGCCACACTAGGACTTGTTCATGCACCGTGTCTTGTATCGGCTTGCGCGTTCGTCTCCATCTGATCGACTTTTTTGATGGAGGATTATGGGGAAAAGAAAGGGGGTTTGAGGATGGTGACGCGGTTGCTCTGTGAGCTGGAGAAAATGGAAGATGTTGAGTGAAGTGTGCGAGGGCGGGTGTGGCTTAACGCCACAGTTCCTTTTTCTTTATTATTTCAGAGACTGCGAGAGGAGGTTTATGCTGGAGATGATCGGGAACGTGCAGTTCGATCCGTACCGCGGATGTGCGAATACGAGAGATCTGCTTTCAACGGCTTTCCGCGTTGCCGCCCATGGGGTTGATGGATGGATGTGTACCTTGCAGATGCTACTATTAGTTTGGGACCTTGTTTGTTCCAGACCTTTGGGGGAAGCTGCATCTCTTTTTGCATCCACCTTTTGGTCTGCTCGGTATCGGTGTGCCGTCTTGGCGGGCCCTTTTTTAGATTGGAACTTCGATTCTTGAGAGAATCGGGTTGTTTGGTTCCGGGGCACTGCTGAATAGGGGCCATATAACCCCTGAGTATCTTGGACTGAGATGGATCTTGCGGCGCCTGCGTGGGAAGGTCTGTTGATGCTGCCTGGTTAGCTTCTCATGCTTTTTCTCGCTCTGCTACTGTCTGTACTCTCGTTAATTGAGCGCATTTGCAGGACATTTGGGTCTTGATTACTCGCATGGCTATCCGATGATAATACACAACAACTCTAGGTTTGCGTATCTGAGGTCTTTAGAATCTTTCCTACAGGGTCTCTCGTCATGATATGTGGCTATCCAGGAGACGATGTTCTCAGGATGAATGCGAACGTAGTCTACGCACGAGGTGTGCTTTTCAGATGCTAACGGCTTTGCAGACGTAGGAAGAAAATGCACTGGGGATGCTTCTTTCCCATCGCAACTTTCTACCCAAAATCTATCATAAGACTTGTATCCAACAATTCTAGGACTTCTGCTACCCTAGTTTCTCCACGCCCAGTGATTTCTATTGCTGGCTCATATTCGTTGCATCGCCAACTTCATGGACCGAATATCACTTCTATGCTCATCAAAGAAGACACATAATACCAGATTGCTATCATCACATATTGCCATCATGTTCGGCTACATAATCTGGTCTTGGATTTGTCGTTTAGGTTTGGTTCACGCACAAGGTGAAAGCTTCTCACGCACTCAACATTATCTGCACACACTGTGCAGCAAACCCACCCCTGCACCGGAAAATAAGCGAGGTACCTCGACTTCGAGCAAGCATTACCCTTTCCACAAGAGGGAGTTTTTTATAGCCTTATAGATAATGTACTATAGCTTCATGCGAGCACTTATATTTAGTTCTCTACAATAAATTACGGTCGCATCGTTGCTACTATACCGGATACGCCTAATACACAGAAGGAGCTTACCAAGTTCCTGTTATTATAATCATACCGTCAGCTGAACTGGACTTCATCTCGATCTCCGAACACATCGCGTGGACTACCCGATTGAGGATCGGGTGAATCTATAGTAGTGTCAGCAGGAAACAAGTTAGACAACTTTTCGCAATTGATTCAATTCCCCACCTGGTGATTTAATTTAATGAACTGTTAGCAAGTCTGCTTTAACAGCATATCGCAATACTTTATGACACTTCCAAGAGTGAAATAAATAAAAAGAAAGAAGAATAGAATTCAGTTACTACGCAGCTGACTCGTGTTTCCTCAAAACAGTTTCACTCTGTTTCATTCGTGGCGTATGCCTGGCATCAAGCGATACGAATACAAACACCGTAATCTATGATCATTTGCCCAACCACAACAAAGCCTCCTATCGCGGGTGCACCACACACAACCAACAGCCCGAGCCACATATAGAAGTCATTCTCACGATGCTGGAACGGATGTACGTCCTCTAGATACTGTTTCTGTTTAGATATACTCCTTCGCGTTGACTCTAGCTCGACAGGCTGTGTGCTGTCACTGGTAGACGGTAAGAATTTCTTTTGCATAATGTCCCAGATTTTTCTTAGTGTCTCCTGCTTATCCTCCATTGTGAATGTTTTGACCAGGTTTTCCAAATCTCCGATCATTTTCTGCCGCTTGAAATCATCCAATTCTAGTTTGTGAAGCCTTCCCCTAGGCATTTCTCTTAGCTCGTTAGCCAATTCTCTTGCCGGTCCAAGGATTTCTTGCTTCTGCAACTCCCATGTGTCTATAGTCGCTGTCGCTGATGCCCAAGTCAGCGGTGGCTGTATTAGATTGCGCTTTGCATTAAATTCCGCCTCCGCTCCCTTAATCCCCCCAATTATTTCTTTAAATGGAGACACCAGCTTTTTCAACTCTTCTTCGTATGATATCCTCAAGACCAGGTAGCGACGTCTCGCGTCTAGGATATGCTTGCTTGTGTCTACGATAATGACCAAGCTGCTGCCTAGTGCTAGCCAGGTCATAGTCCACACCCGCTGAGGCAGCGTGCTGGAGCCACTTTGAAATGATGACATGCCTCCAATGATGGCGATCGGCGCGGCAGCGCACACTGTGGCGATGGCCCAGTTGATGGCGTTAGAAACGTAGAGCGGGATTCGCCATCCCTTTGATTTTGTGTCCTTGATATCTCCGACCATGCCGTCGACACTGAATCCATGGCCTAGGCCATTCGACCTAACGATATATATTGCCGGGTACGTAGGGCATACGAGGTTCCCGAGCAGGTTGATAACTGGCATGAATATATAGGGGGTCACGGTGAGACTAAAGGACGCATACCCGTAGCGATCAATCTGGTCGCCTCGAGCTCGGTACAGAGTTACAGCTGCAAAGACAGTTTGGCCAATGGAAGCAAGTACTTTTACAACATTATAGCTGCAGGAAATTTGTACATGCTTTCCAGAGGCTGTAATGGCTCTAAATTTAGTGTATTTCGGAACAAAGTTTAGAGCGTAGCCCTCACGTGGATAGCATGCACCGTGAACTTTTGTTGAACTCGGAACTTATTCAAAGATCAGCGACAATGATAATGATGTCTAAGGCGTTACTACTCACCATCTCCTGGAGTATCTTGATCTACGATCACGGCGAGCGCCCTTGCCCTGGCCGCCTTTTCCAGGTCGTTATGCCCAAAAATTGCCAAACTTTGTATTGCGCGCACTCCGCGAATCACTCCCGACATGGGAAATAGCAGTGCTAGGGCTGTAGCCAATGTAACGTCTTGCCATATTTCACCCGGAAAGGTCGTGATTGTTGCAGCGTGCGCAAGGTAGTTACCGATGAAGAAAATGATGATGTCGGACCATTGGGCGTGCCGACAAAAAAGATTCGGATCTCCGTGGTTCGAGTCGTTGAGTGACACAACAAGGGTGGTATTCGCCATTGCCGGGGAGAAGCCCAGAGACAAAAGTATACGTAGTGATTCTTGCTGTAAGAATGTGATGGCGAGATATAGTACACTCGACTTAGCTCGTGAGTGTGTGGAGAAGCTGTGCAGCGCAGGAATCACCGACGATCCATAACGGGGGCTGAGTCGAATTTATCCCACGCAGTAACTAGGAGGGGTTGTGCTGATTGCTGTTGTCCTCTGCGATTAGGATGCTGCAGGTAGCTAGATGAAGCAGCGAATAGCACCGCCCAAAATTCATGCAAGAACACTTCACACACGCATGTATCAGGCTACTTTCGCAAGAATGGTGAAGATCTTCGGCTCCAATTCACTCATATAACGAGTCTTTCGCAATCTGGTTAGTGTTGAATGACAGCTCTAGAATATACGACCGGTCCGCAATCGAGGAGCAGTCTGAACGACGTCCTGCTTACCGATGCGACCAGTCGTAGAGTAGTTCTCGTCTATCACCGCTCTTCTCTATGATCACCCTCTCCATCCCAGAATTCAACGAATAGGAGGGAAGCGGCATCGTACTCTACACAATATGGACGACGCAGACGATCGCGATTTCGAAGCCTCAGCAGTGAGGGTCACGAGGCTGCCATGGTAGTACAGTATTCCCGACAGACACTAGCATGAAGTAAGAAGCCGCCTTATCAGGAGTACTACTGGTTCACGTAAGTAAGTTCGCTAAAGCCAGCATTTCTGGGTGTCCCCGCCTGCCAACGCGGATGAATTCGGATACCACCCCTCCTTTTCACTATAGTCTCTATAGCTCGGAGACATCTTTTTGTATCTTTGTCTTTAAATTAGAATCATCGAGCTGTAGGAGAATATACCTAAACATGTTTTAACAGGAGTATAAAGCTGTTGCGATGTTAATGTGGCCAGTAAGAAATGATCGACAGCACGAAACGCACGTGTATTTTCCTATCGCAAAGTTGGACCTTAGAGACATTATCTTAAATTCTAATCTGTCTTTAATTATGGATGTATTTACTGTGAAACTGTGAGAGTAAACACCTAGTACTGAATAATTTCCCGCTCACCGGAATCTCCTGTAGATAGGAGGAATATTAGGTATCAAGTCGACTTCCCGAACTCTGATCGACTGATTCACTTGTTCAAACAAACTGTTTACTTTAAAAACACGCTTTCTAATTCACTCTTGATCGTTCTAGTGGACCAGCGAAAAAACTTTCATTGTGCTCCAAACAAGTTTCTTGTACACAAACACGCGCCTTTGACTACTTGGACACTGTAAATCATGCCCACCAACTACTTTTCTATACCTTATCGGCCCAGAAATTATCCCCTCGAACCAATCTGAGCCACCTTTGTGCTAACAGCAATCTCAAGCAAGGTGTTAAACTCAAAATTCACACTATCAACCAGACCTTTCACGTTTCGAACTTTCACTCTCGCTAAAGCATACACATCTTCTTTTCACTTACCGCTTCACTACTACAATCGAATCAATCAATTCGATCCAGAGACTCTATCATGGAATAAATTTTGGAGGTTGTTTGTACGAACGCCGATCGCCTGACTGGTATGTTCAAACCTAAGAAGCAGGTAAAGCGTAGAAGCAGCGTTATAGAAGTATGTGACATCCCTTCCTAACATTGTAGATCTTTGCTAATCATTCTTTTAGGCATTATTCGCGCGGCATGCAGAGATATTCGCAAAAATAGACTTGGATGAACACGGTGTGCCCAAGTCCGATGAGACTACGCCTGCTATGGCTAGGCCTGCTGTGACCACCACTCATGCGGCTACTGCTCCTGTTTTCGCTTCTGCTGTACCAACTTATCCTGTAGTCACTACGCCTGCTGTGGCGAATTATCACGTGGCTACCTCTGCCATGACTTACGCTATCGTAGTTGCCCCTACTGTGGCTGTCCCTGTTGCAGCCACCGGAAATACCACGAATATGAACTATCCTCAAATGGCAACATGGCGGAATGATAAGGGGGTTGTCTTCTTGGAGAAGGAAAGCAAGCTCAGGACAGCAAAGCGCCAAGCTTTGCGACAGCAACAAAGACGTATGTTAGTAACCAAGAAGCGTATAGAACATCATCGATCACAGAGGGCTCAGGGGTTCCGCGTTCATGGACAAGGAGATGAGACCGAATCTTCGCATCCCCAACCAGCGGATTCGCTGGATGCAGACCCGAAACCCACTCAAGACATGTCCTTTTATGAAAACCAAACATACAAAGAGAGCCATGCTTATGTTCAGGAACGGCTTACAAATGTTCTCGGTGCAGAGCGAATGAGTTTCAAGCTGCTCCCTTCCGGCCATAACCCCATTGATCTAGTCATCGCCGAACACAACCAGCGAACAATCACAAATAGTATACTTAACCAATGGGAAGCCCACAAGGTTGAGATTCGTAGGCAGGAAGAGGAACGAAAGCGCCAAGCCCATGAAGAGGAGGTTAGGAGATTCAAGATACAGACTCTCCTCGATCATTATCACCAACTATACATTAATCGCTTAGAGCAGCTAGCTCTCTATGGTCGTGACCTCGTAATGGGTATCGGATATATCGAGGCTGCTCTAATGGCCGGTGGCCTTTATGAGGCGGCTAACGTGATGCAAGACATGACGCATCAGGCCCTTCTTCCTATTCATACCCTGCTCCAGAAATGCAACAAAGAGATACCACTGGAAGAGTTTGGCGCTGAAAAGCTGAAAAGCTTGTGGCCAATGGAGGGTCTTATGGCAGTGTTCGAGTACCTGCGGGGCGAGCCTCATCTTCCGCCTCAGGCTATTGATATGATGCAGGGAATTCAGGTCATTTGCACAGCGCTCAACAATCCGACGCGTTTCCAGGACCCACTTGCTCCCAAGCCAATTTTCAGCAATAACTCGAGTTGGAAATATACTCCACATCAAATTGTCCCTGCAGCGAAGCCCTCTCCCTCTGAAGGGATTTCAGTCATTGGCGCAGCATCAGCAACTGCTGGCAGCGGCTTCTCCAAGCTTCTTGCCGCGACTGCTCAGAGTGTCAAGCAGGAACAAAGTAGAGAGCCCGGTTCTACAGGTAGCGGCTTCGCGAAACTCCTCGCTGCGACCGCCGAGAAGTTGAATAGCAGCCAGGAAGCAAGTTCTGACACTGCTCCGAACGTCTCTCCAGATACCACCCCCGAGACCAGCCTATCACCAGCTCACGCAGCCCGAACAGCAGTTCTACATTACATCGCAACTGAAAACCTCTACTTCGAAAGCGAAGTTCAAGACTTGATTAGGAATAACACTGTCGTTGGCACCCACCGCCGTCAGGCATCTGAATGCCTCAAGGAGCTGATTGGGCTAGCCAACGGCGAAGAAGGCTTTCTCGGAGACATGGACGCCGGCAATTATAGGATACAAATCGAGACGTGTGTTACCAAGATCAATACTCTGCCGACCAACCAGCGACTGAACAGGGATACGCAGGCGCTCAAGAAGTTGTGTGGAAACGCTCTGAAGCTTTGGAGTGTACATGCGAAGTAGATGCGGGAGCGGGGTTTCTTAGTCTTCCAGTTAGATACGTTTGCGAAGACAGATGAGGGAGTTCGAGCCGTTTTTGAGTAGTCAGATTATGTCTAGGCGTAGGCTGGGTCTATCACTTTGCTTGGCGATCTTGATGACTCTTTTACTTTTTGGCTGGATCGTATTGGTACGTTGCCACTAGTTGGGAATGAATGAATTATCACGTATTGTTTCACGTCCATCAATAATGTATTGCCATCTCAGGTTGGTTATCAAGTGGCCTGAAGAATTGTTCTCGCATACTCTTGCGATGCTGCATCTTGTGTTGACATGTTGACACAAAAAATTGTTCACCCTAACATTCGCAGTGCCTTTGCATTACAACCATGTCTTCCGGCCGGAGATGCCGGTGTATATTAAACTACCGGCGGAGGCTCGGCACCGGACCGGTCCCTTTACAACCATATTCATTTTTCCTGAATCGTGTTCTGAAGATTGATGAAAATGTAAGACCTAGTGTAATGTCAATGTGTCAGTGCAATATTGCGGTCTATCTCATCTTTGCCACCGAATCCAAAACAAGTCCTTTTTCGAACCCTGGACGCGATTCATATCATGCTCACAATATACGTACACAACACGAGTCGAGTCCAACCATTTCCAGCCAACGTTACATTTTACCGAAGACTCAGAAGCAAGTCATTGTGTAGTGGCAAATCAAACATCGCATGAATGATTTCAACAATGTCACGTCGACCACTCCCTCGGACTACAGGTGACCGAGAAGGAGGGCCACATACCTTGGCTCCGTCGCCACAATGTGCGCAAAAGAGGTGAATTGACCGGTCCCAACAACGCCATTGTGGAGTTTATTTGACCCACGTGCCCCGCCCCCAGGGACATGGGAAACGCTAAGGGATCCGCTAAGCGAGCACGTTTTGGGGAGGAGGGTAAAGTTCTAGTCCGGCTCTGTTCCCGGTTGTGCGTATATGCTTTATACTTGGCACATTTTAGTGGACAGAGAAAGCCCAAAAGAACTTGATTGGCAAGCCCATTTTGAGGGTTTTACACTTTCTATGACCCAAAGTTCATCATGGGACATGTCCTGGGCGTGACTTGCATGTTTTTGGGCCTATATAGTGCCAAAACTGTAAACTAGTTCATTTGCTATCCATCGCTATCATCAAACAAGGGTATCTATTCAATCACTCCACGCTCCACACTGCCCGGACCCCACTTTTCTACGCACAACAGCCCGTAGGCCCAGCCGCACTAATCGACGCATGCCTCTCCTCCTTCTGTTCTGGCGTGTTGTACGGTATCCTGACCACGAGCCAATCGCACAAGAACTTGCCCAATCCAGCGCCCAAAATGATAGAGATGAAAATATAGCCATTGAAGTACATAACCAACAACATGACGATGTAGGCCAGACCGAGCGTGACGCCGTGGATGATGGAGCGAACGAGTTGTTGCAATGCGGTGGCACGGAAGGTCGCGTGCTGAAGTCCGAGGGTGGACGTGGGGCCGTCGCAGCAGTTGGCGGGCATGGCGGCCGCTAGTGCCGCCTGCTGGGCGTGGAGTTGTCGCTGGAATTGGCGCAGGAGAAAGGCATCGTATTCGTGGCTAACGCGGCGCAGGAATTCGAGACAGACGACGAGAAGAGCGACGCCCACGCAACTGGCGGCCATCATGCCGTTGTTGGTGATGTGCCATGAGGAGGAGAGAAAGCATGCGTCCTCGACGCGCCAATTCCACAGCATCTGGAAAATATCAGCATTTTGCATTTTCCAACATCTTCCTTTTTTTTGGCGTATTTGTGACTTTAAAGATGGATTTTACATACCTCAGTTACGCAAGTTTTGTTACCGGCCATGCCGGACATTCCGTGGGACATCATGATGGGCGATGCGCAATGGGTGTAGAATCTCGCACGGCGAAAGTTGATACTGAAAAACGTGAATTCGCAAAGAAACTGTGCGAGGGAATCCCAAGGATTGAATAGAGGCTTTAGCAACTTGCCTTCGACGCTAATCCACAGAGCCAGACCCAGCGGGTGATGCGATATTCATAGGGTCCTTGATCCAGCCATGTTCGATCCACAGGGTCGTCGTCTGGTCCCGTCTTGGGCTCAACCTTTACAGATAGTCTCCCGAAACTGTGGGGTTATTTGCTCAAATGCTCTCGCACTAGCGACATACCCATGCCTTTAAGACGGCTCTAAACATCTTGTCTTCATCTAGAAGCTTGGCATCGTGCTCGAATTACCGATGAAACATGCTCACTATCTACCGCCTCCGGTTCGCCACATTTATATAGATATAACAATTCTACTGACTCTCCGGAAGCAGCAAAGAGCCTCACACAATCTTTGCATCCGCTGTTTGTCTGTCGCCTTTCCTCGTCCCTAGCGCGCCAGCAAACATGGACGTCAACATGCTGGCTCCGCGCCATATCCAGAATATCAGCGCGGCATCGTCCATAGAACACCATTGGGGATATGCCGACCGCGCGGTTCCTTGCACTAATGTGCCAGACGATTGTACCTATCTCGACCTCGTCTACAACGCCCATGACCTCTCCATGCTCTACAGCGGTATCATGTGGTCCATCATTGGCGGTATCCTGGTGATCTGGGGCGTCGGACGACACTTTGCGCGTTCGCAACCCTCGGGTGTACAGCTCCCGGCCGAAGTGGGAGAAGGAGTACCACAAAAACGCAGCGCATTCGAACGATTCCAAAAAGCAATTGCATCATACTCGCGACAATACCTCCTCCCAGATGCCGCCAGGCCGATTTTCGGTCGAGTCACTCGCACTCAGGTCTTGACTCTTACTGTTCTGACCGGTTACCTCATTGTCTTTTCTTTCGTCGGCATGATCTACAACCACTGGAATACTCCTGCGAAAAAGTATCCCGGCGTTACCAATCCTCCTGGGCTTACACAAACTCGTAGCACTCTCGGTCCTTGGTCTGATCGCATTGGCGTTTTGGCGTATGCCCTCACGCCATTGTCGGTTATGCTCGCGAGCCGGGAGTCTATTCTGTCGCTTGTCACCGGCCTGCCATACCAAAGCTTCAACTTCCTCCATCGCTGGCTCGGATACATCATCTTCCTCCAGTCATCCCTTCACACCATCGCCTGGTGCATCGTCGAGATTCGTCTTTACCAGCCCCAGCCATATGTTGCCAAGAACTGGATTGTGCAGGAATACATGATTTGGGGTTTGGTTGCGATGATCATCTTGACATTGCTAGTCCTGCTCTCCACACCCTGGGGAATCAAACTCACCGGTTACGAATTCTTCCGCAAGGCCCACTATGTTCTGGCTATGATTTACATCGGAGCATGCTGGGGCCACTGGCAGCAGCTTAAGGTCTTCCTTTTGCCTGGACTCATTGTCTGGTTCATCGATCGTGGTATCCGACTTGCTAGGTCGGCTCTGTTACACTACAACTTCCTGCCTTCCGGTCATATGGGTTTCCGCTCAGCTTCCTCGACCGTCTCTCTCTTCAAGGACGAGGTTAATGGTGATATTGTGCGCTTGGATTTCGACCACCCTCAAGACGCTTGGTCTGTCGGTCAGCACTTCTACCTTACCTTCCCAGATAGCAGCATCTGGCAAAGCCATCCATTCACTCCAGTCAGTCTCCCGGTCTTTGGTGCCGACAGCCAGAGGCACTCGTATATTTTCCGCGCAAGGAAGGGTGAGACCAAGAAGATTGCCCAGCTAGCTATGAAGCGCATCGCTCACGTCAAGGACCATGAGGAGTCACACGAAGGATTGATGGCTGATGCCCGCATTTCGGTTGTCATGACTGGCCCATATGGTGAGCGTACGATGAACAGCCTCGCCCCTAACTCCAACATTCTCTGCATTGCCGGTGGAACTGGTATCGCATACGTTATCCCGGTTCTTCTCGATCTCGCCTCTCAAAAGCAACACCCCGATCGTCACATGTCTCTTGTATGGGCCATTCGCCGGAGAAGTGACATCGACTGGGTCGCACCCGAACTCGCCATCTTGAAGCGCAAGTGCCGCAACTTGCGCACCAGCATCCACATCTATGTCACGCGCGCCTCTGAAGAAGTAGACATCCCACCACCCGCCACATCAGAAAAGGTCGGCGCAACAGACTGCAGCAAGGAAATCAACCCCGCCTCGAGCTCAGATAGTTCTACCCAGGACGCTTCTTCCGCCCTATCGGTCCACGGCGTGTCGAAATCGGATCTCGGCCTGAACCACGTCCAGGCACGCCCCAACCTTGACGCAATTGTGCGCGAGTTTGTTGCTGGAACAGTAAGAGGAGGAACAGACGTCTTTGCTTCTGGCCCAGGAGGTATGATCAGCGACCTCAGGCGCATCATCGCTAGCACCAACAAAGGTGGCGATGTGTGGAAGGGAGATGACAGATATGATGTACGGCTGACATGCGATGATCGGTTGGAATGGTAATATTTTTTGTAGATTTTGATACCCCTCAGTACAATCTTAGCGTTTTTCAGTGTGCATGATACTTACGATCTGGATGCTCGTGATGAAGTTTTATATGTCCGGCCTAGCGAATTTGGTTCATATTGATCTGTTTGCAAATGGTGACAGCGTATCGATGGAAGGATACTATGCTCAAGGCATTACCGATAAGCCCGAGCTCACTTCATCGGAGGCGTTCCTGCGTATGATTCAAATCGAAGTTATGTAATATGATAGTTAGAGTGATGAATGTGATGATTTCGGCGCTAGTGAAACCTGCTGATTAATTGTTATGCTAGTGGCCTTAGTTATGCTGGCCGCGACCTTACCATACATGAAAGTGCAATTTTTCCTATATGACACAGAAGCATCACATCTTTTCATTCGAATCGAATGCGCTTAACGCATGTTATTAGCATACCCGTCGTTGCGGCGAAGGCGCCTATTTCCTATTTACCCCCGGCAATAACTCCGCTAACTCCGAACCCCACATCGTCACCATTCGTACATCCCGACCATTGAATTAGCTGACGATCCCCGTTGTTCCCACGCTCGGTTGTTACTCAAAGCCCTGACACCATATCCGCAAAGATGGCAAAACTACTTGATTTGTGCTACGACGTTCTCCTTCAGATCCTTGAAGAAATCAACCCTGAAGATGTGGCGGCTTGTGCGCAGACGTCCAAGGGCTTCAACAGCTTCATCAGGGAAAATGCGCGGATATATAAGACTCTCTACCTCAAACATTTTGTATGAAGAAAACAGCGAGATTCCAGTGATTGCATGATTCTAACTGTATGTTAGGATGATCCTCGCCGGAGAAGACCGACAGATCCAGAGCCTGCGTGGGTTGAGGAACTGCAAAGGCTAGTCAGATGCCAGAAAATGCTATTGTCAGCCGATAACGACCTCAAGGTAGGGTTCGCTCCTTTTTTATCATTTCTTCATCTAACGCTCGCAGCGGGAAGAGTTTACTTTCGTCGCATCGACAGTGGAAAGTCTTATCGTTACCATGTCGTGCAACAACCTCGGCATTAGTCACAACAGAACCTTGCTCAAGGAACTTTTCGAAAACATCTCCCAAAACCACGATGCTTTCATGTGTCGCTCATCGCATTTCAGTCGGGCTGGGACATCAACACAGAAACCAGCTGAGGATGAAGAAGGCCGTCAGCTAAGCGCAAAACTGCATAGCTTATTCGGCTTCCCCAATTCTAAGGGCTTTCCTCAATCTAAGGTTGGAGGGAAGAATGTACTTTTCACTCAACCGTATGCCCGATCACGCGTATATGATTTAAGAAACTACACTGATAAGAACAAATGGGGCCCTTTCCGCAAAGATGGAAGCATGCGAGTGGATTGGGAAATGATCGAAAGCATCATGATCGTACTTGGATACAACTCATTCTTTTCCCTTCAGACGCTGAGCAACCGACTCCAGCTGCCATGGCTAGACTCACTCGAGGGTGTCATTCCAGATATGGGAGTCAACATGGGCACCGATCAACCAAATTACATAACGCTGCTACAGGAACCGGAACTCCCGCTCGATATGAAGGATCCGTACAGAGTCCAAGGAATTTGGTCCCGAGTATGTCATTCATACATTGATACCGTTGACAACTTACTGATAGCTCTCAGGTTGTTTGCTTCCTGGATTACACTGATCTGTACCACTACAATTTCGAAACGGACGCAAGAAGAGTTCCTGCTGACCAGCCAAGAGCACCACTTCACGTAGATGAAGCCATTCGTCACATACTCATGGATTTGCGAATTACCGATGTTACCGCACCAGGCCCATCAGACAACCCCGAACTCCCTGTGGTACACTTTAAAGGGAAATCAAGATCCATAGATGTTCAATGGGATCCCAATGCTAACTCTGGCATCCGTGGCACTGTGAGCTTGACGCCTGAGGGCGAAGTGAGGTGGCAGACGATTTCAATTTTTGAAGGGTAAGTTTACATTGTTCTTGGCGCGTCACTGAGCTGAGTATTACTGATGTGTGAAAGCGGTGAGGAGAGGTGGCGTAGCGATGGTATCCAAGTAGGCGGGTTGCGCTGTCCACGAGGCGTTGTCGGAACGTGGTTTGACAAAGACTTTGACGTGCACGGACCTGCTGGGCCGACTGCGTTCTGGAAGATCAGCGACAAAGTTCTGGATTCCGACGATGAAGATGAGGGCTATGAACACGATTTATGGGAGGTTTAATTTTCTAAGATAGTGCTAGATGTGTAAGCATGCTCAATACACAAGGCATGCAAGACCAACTAAGTTAAGATGTCACCGTGTTCCATGTACATGCATAAAATGCAAATTTAGAAATATATTCGATTAGAGTTTTCTTTCCAGTCAATATTGTTCCATCGCGGACGGACAGTTATTAGGTGAGTTAGCACTGGACACAACTATAGTCTTATGAAGCCAATTGTTCTGGTTGAGCCTCTCTGTAACAGGCTGAATTCCCTTTGGTACACCTCGTCGATGGGATCTCGGTGCACGACTATAGAATCTAAGTGTGGGCCTCAGCATCCGGGCGAAATAACAAAATGTAGTAGTTTATTACTTACAGTATAGATAAGTACTTTTACTGTGCCAGTGCACAAGATTGCGAGCAACCCTGGGAGAAACTAATAGTTTGCATTGTCAAGTTAAAGACTTGTATACTGATGGTATGAAAGCTGAGAAACAATTATGTCATACGTAGCAAGACTCAAGAATACTTCACATAACCTAAAAGTCTAGAATAGAAAGTATTCAATCATGCCATATTTTCCAGTATGATTAGAAAGATGTTACATGTCTATGTAAATCCATTCTAACTCATTAGCCGTGATGCCGTCTACTTGCACCTCGTGCATTTCTCCTGGCATGACATCAAAGCCATTGTCGCTGAAACGTACGCCTTTTCTCTCGCTAAATACAAAGCCCTTTACTGGCTTTGAAGACGATACAAAAGCTATACTTAAATCCTCATCATATTCCACCTTGATCCCCCGATCTTCAAACGAAAGATATTTGATCGGCTCCGGCCAAGATACGTCTTGTGCAACACATTGGCCATCAATGTGTAGCGTCGCCTCAATGACGAAAGGATCAGCCTTCGTAAAATCAAATTCTTCATCCGATTTCTGTGAGTCGTCCACATCTGCTACATGATTCTTGATAATTTCGGTAGTCCCGTTGGCAGCAATGCGAACATCTCGCTCCATTTCCCATCCCAATCTCGCCCCCGTCTTGATCGATACATACCTAATCCTCACACTCCCCTTCACCTCTTTCACCGTACCATTAGCAGCCCAGACATCAAACTCCACATGCCGCCACAACTCCCTCATATCAACATGTCCCGTATCTCGCTGCCATAGCTCATCAGCCGGTCGCATAGTCCAGCTCTTGATTTTGCGCTGCACACCAATAGCAACAGACTGCATAGCACGCTTGATAGCATAATACGCCGGTTTGGGGACACAATCGTAGTCGATAACAGCCCAAGACATGGTCGGCCAACAGTCATTAAGTTGCCAAACCAACACGCCCCCACACTTGCGACTACCACGCGATCCCCAATCCCGACGCCACGATTTATACGCCCACGACATAGCATCCGCCTGCATGACCTGCGTCAGATGCGTGAATCCCTTCAGATCATATTTGACGCGAAAGTTCTCAGTCACATAGCTTATCAAGCGTCGCTCATGTCCAATCGCTTTGTTACGGAAGTCCATGGCCATGGAGCCCGGGTAGCGGTCTTCTGGCCGCGTGACCCATTTCTTGATTGTAGCTATGTGCGGATAGGCCTCCATGCCGAATTCGGAGATGAAACGGCCGCCTAGACCGGGGAGGCGTTGGTATGGTTCCATTGTGCCGTGCCAGACGTTCCATTGGTGGACGTCGCCGATTGCAGGATCGACTTTTAGGACGGTGGAGCGGCCGTTGCCGAAGGGGGAGCTGGGGTGGTAGGGTGTGTTTGGAGATTCTTGGGATACTATTTTTGGGAGGAGATGCTCGTAGATGTAGCGTGCTGGGAAGTTTGTTTTGAGCCAGGACTCAGGATCTTTGTTGTCAGGATCGTAGTCGAGTCCGTAGCGCTCTACAATTTGGTAGTCTTCGTTGTTTCCTGCCCAGAGGACGATGCTTGGATGCATTCTTAGTTGTTGGACATTTTGTCTGGCTTCAGTTTCCACACTCTCCAGATATTGTGTGTGTGCTGGGTAGTTTGCACAGGCAAACATGAAATCTTGCCATATGAGCACACCCAGCTCGTCAGCTGCAGTGTACAGCGCATGGGCTTCATAGATGCCACCACCCCATATGCGAAGCATTGCTTGATTTCCATCGGCCGCGAGCTTTACCCACGCGTGATAGTCGGAAGGCGTGAGACGCGTCAAAAAGGAGTCTGCGGGTATCCAGCATGAACCGCCACAGAAGATGTCAATGTTGTTGACGCGGAAGTAGAAGGATTGGCCGTATGTATCCAGCTCTTGAATGAGCTCGGCACGACGAAAGCCAAAGTCTTTTGAGACGGAATGAAGTCTCTGAGATTCGGATGTCTCAGACTGTGCGTAAGCTTCCGCTTGGACAGTGTACATACTCTGATCGCCGTAGCCTCGCGGCCACCAGAGCTCGATATCTTTCATGATGCCAAATGTACTCGCAGTTCCGCAGCGATCTTCAGACTGAGGATATATGGTATCGCTCCATTCGATAACACTGCTCCCTTTCTTCGTAACAGTAAAAGTCAACGAATCAATGGAGCCTTTCCATTCGACCCCAGCTGTGATCAAAGCAGAATTCAAGTCATGAGAAAGATCGTAGTGGATGTCCAGATTCGACAATTCACTCGTCCACGTCTCCAGCGATATCGGTTTCCAAATCCCACACGTCATCAGTATGGGGCCCCAATCCCATCCCCAATGATACTGCGCTTTACGAACCGGGCCACGCGAGATCTCAGTCTGGTGTACAATGTACCGATGGTCTCCATGTTCCTTGACAAGTTCCAGGCCCCTCTTTCGCGTAGAATGAAAGACGATTTCTAGTGCATTGTCTCGGTCTTTCAGCTTCCCTGTGATGTCAACCCAATGCACTTCAAACATGTTATCTGATTGGAGGATTAAGAAGCCATTCAGATAGACGGAGGCAAATGTATCCAATCCTTCGAATTGAAGTTCGGAAGTCACACCAGCTTTGCCATAATGTTGAGGTGCAGCGAATGTGGTACAATATGTCCATGTCTCGTCTCCAACCCAGCGTACTGACAGCTCGTTGAGATCAATGAATGGATCCTTGACTTTTCCGTTCTTGAGAAGGTCACGATGTATCTCGGTTGGAGCATCGTGCGCGGGTAGAAAGGGGCTAGTGGAGGAACGGTCGCCTTGCTTTACCGCCCAACCTGTTGTGAGCGGCGTCGATGTATGCGGTACTAGCTGCATACTTGGTCTTGTCATCTATGCTTACAAGGCGAAGGATGTACTTTGGTGTTCATGACAGATGGCAGATGTTCGGTGGCTTTTGACCCGCAGTGGCACCACCAGTTTCCCGGGTGCGGGGTTTCCCACAGCTCTTTCAGGATGGGATCAGCGCTCACCGTTGTGCAGGGTATAGCAAGAAAAATCCTGGTTCAAAGTAGGTTAAATGAATATTTCATTAGGCTTAGAAACATTTCAGTTCAACAAAAAGCCTCAAGCTATGGTCCATATTCTACTAGTCAGCGAAGGCTATTGAGCTACTCGAGGACCTTGAAGCCAACCAAGTCCGGTGCAAACCTGTCTCCGTAGCCTCTAAACTCTACTGTGTTTGCACTGCCCTCAGTAAATCCGTCAACTTCAATGTTCAGACCAAAACTCTCTTGCCAGTTCCCACCGGAGAGTGGGAAGGCCCATCTCTTCGCCTTTTTACCGTTCACAGCTACTGTCATGTTTCGCGCGTTGTCACCCCAATCCCATGCGGTAGTGAACGCGTATTCATAGTTGACGAAGTCAACACTTAAGAGTTTCTTGCCGGCAGAAGCAGCACTGACATTAGAAAAGGTCACACCAGCGCTGCGATCGATGTACCCGACCTTTGATCCGGTTGGCAAGCAGGCGCCCTCTGCACAAGATACTACTTGTGCTGGCCCAGAGAGAGATGCATCGGCAGCTGAATGGTATGCGCCAGAACGCAGCGGAGCAGCTACATCCATATCGGATAGTACCCACAGGCGTAATTCGTGACCAGCAAGATCGAGAGTTTGGGAGCCAGAAACAGCACCCAGGTCCTTCGCAGCCCAGACGTCGCGTGCATTAGCTGATGCAATACCAAGCGAGGCCAAATTCAATTCGACAGTCTGAGAGTCATTTCTCCAATTTGCAACACCCAGAATCTGTTTTGAGCCTGAAAGCTCACCTAGCCATATATCCCATTCGCTTTCGGTGTTACGCTGGATCAATCTTGCTGGCTTAGCAAGCGGATCCTGGTTAATCGCAATCACTTCTTTGTTTGTCATGATATCTATTGAGGATTGGCTGAGGCGGTTCGGGTCAAGAGCTGCGCCCATGATCAGAGGCGACTTGTTGATTGCCCACATGCCGAAGTGGAAGCGCTCTTCCTCTTCGGAAAGTGCCTTCAGGCCAATGCTGTTTAAGTTAGCTTATTTCTCGAGATCTGAATAAGACACATACATCAACATGTCCATGTCGGCAAAGGCACCGGTAGTCGTATGTCTAAAGTACGGCACAATCTGGTTCGTAATTCGCCAGATGCTGCGCCAGGCGTTGTAGATGTCATTGCTCATTCTCCATGTAGTTCCAATGTCGGCAGCCCAGTCACCAACGTTAGTTCCAATTCCCCATTGGCAAACATAGTATTGGATATCGCGGTTGACAGCATCCAGCTCAGCCGCCATGTGTTGGAAACGAGCGGGTGATTGGGCCTCAGCAGAGCTTGAATCAACCATGGTTGTATTCGATGTAGAATAGCAGTTGTCGTACCTGATTCATGTCAGCTATCGTTTTAGAGTAAATTTAATCATGTTCTTTTACTTCAGCCTGTCTCCACCCCATTCCGCAAAGCTCTCTGCATCCAATTGCTCGAAGCCCAGACTTGCAGGCAGTGCTTCAGATCCGCACTGCAGGTAGCCAGCTCCAGAGTAGAGACCAAAGTCAAGTCCAAGGTCATGGAGAAAGTCACCAAGAGCCTTGCCACCAGACGGAAAGAGTGTCTCATTCCATCGCAGCTTCCCATTGGAGTCTCGATCTTTTGAATTCCAGCCGCAGTCAACCGTCACAAAGTTATAACCAACACTTTGAAACCCAAGATCTACGAGTCCTCGAGCACTCTCATGGATCTTTTCTTCATCGGGGAGGCAATTCCAGGTATTGTACGAGTTCCATCCCATAGGAGGTGTTGGAGAACGCACAAGTTTTGCAGCAACCCGATGTGTGAGCAGCGACGCTGCGAACAAAAGTGAAGCGGCTGACATGATGGCCTTCTGTCGTTGAAGATGCAATTGATACACGTCTACAAGCAGCTACTTCATAGGGTTTAATTAAATACCCGGTGGACATGACGGTGCATACTGCATGGCCCAGAATGAAGCAGCATCATGGCATCGGGCCACGGAGAAATTGATCGCGATGCGTACAGTCTCAGTCTTGGGTTGCATCGCCTGGCTTAACCACAACAGCTTCAAGTAGCGATCATCAGAACGACAAGAGTTTATTGCAAGGATGCAACTCCGTCTCGGGTACATGTGAGAAGAAGCTTTGACTTTTATCCGGGGAGTGAATGCAAATAGGAAGTGTAGTATGGTACCCCGCGCACGCTAACGTGAAATCGCGACGTCATGTTAACAGTAACTAGAGGGGGATGTACCGATGAATTTGAAAGACTGGCAGAAGACGCGAAAGTTTATTGCAGCTTTTAGTGGGGGGGGGGGGGTCATCTTTGGAAACAAAAACAGTGATGGGTGTTATGGATGGGTGAAGGAACATGAATTCGAAAATGGCTTTTTCATGATAGCATTCGGTCTACTTACCGTCTCGATATGATCGCAAAGCGGTTTTTGCCTCAATACTTACACAAAATTTATATTCACATGTAAGCAGTTCAAGCGATTGGTCTCACAACTTGGTCTATTGTTCGCGCACATTACATACAATCAAACTCCCTGCATTCCACCACAAAGGGCTCAAAACACGGTCCGATTGCCTCCGTTTGGCGGCTGGGGCCATTTGTCCAGAATCGTCTCTTCACCTGTAATAGTCAACTTCAACTCAGCCTGGGTAGGCTCGTCGAGGAGAAGCGTGTATTCGCCGGGATAGATAACAGTATTGCCTGATTGATCCACTCTAGCCAATTCTCCAAGTGTAAGCGGAAGCGACGCTGACTTTTTCGCGCCCCCATGAATGTCTCTGAGCCTCCCATACGTAATCAGAGTCTTCAGTGGGTATGGCTTAGGTCCAACCTCACCCTTGATGAAAGCGAGAGCGACAAAATCCGATGTTCGGTTACCCTTGTTTGCCACGGTGACCTCTAGTGGTGCAACCTCACACAAATCCTTATACTGTTGTGTGCAGCCATCCAGAATTTCCTCGATATCGTAGGTGAGGCCTTCTTCACTAGCAAAGCTGGCCTCAAAAGTGGTATAATGTAGACCAAAACCGAATGGCTGAACGGACTCATTAAACCAGCGATAAGTACGACCGGGACTTTCGGTGTGTGGGCGCAAGTTCATGTCAAGCATAGAAAGTTTGACATAATCTGCCGGGTATTCCGTTATTGGCAAACGACCTGCAGGGGCATGCGCACCGGAAACGACGTTTAGTATCGCTGGACCGCCATCTTGGCCAGGCCAATTCGCCCAGATGATTGAGTTGACGCCTTCCATGGACAGAAGAGGGGAGTGATCAGTCATATCACCAAGCGTGATGACAACAAGCGGCTTGCCGAGTTTAGCTAGTTTGGTAAGAAGGTCAATTTGCACTTGAGGAAAACTGATTGTAGTGCGATCGTAGCCTTCCTGCGCCACTGTCCAGTCTTGACCACCAAAGTAGAGGATATAGTCGGATTTCTCAGCCGCATCGAGCGCGTTGGTAGTCCAGTTGTCGGGCACACTTGAGTTCTGGATCATCGGGCCCCAGGCTATGGCCATATCTAATCCCATTTGTTCACCAGCGAACACTGGGGAGTGCCGGTAAGGGGGTGGACCGCTGTAGATACCCTGGAGTTTGGAAGAGTCGTTGGCCCAGAAACCTATCATAGCCACTTTTGATCCCTTCGTGAGAGGCAATGGAAGTGTGTGGTCATTCTTTAGCATGACCAAACCTTCAGAGGTAACTTGCAAAGATAGTTGTCGTGCTTCGGGCGTGTTAATGTCTTTATAACTCAAGTTTGCATAAGTTGCCTTCGCGCCATCAAAATAGCCGGCATGGACTAGGCCTTCATATTGTCGAGTCAACGCTTTGTCGATAACAGAAATATTTAGAAGGCCTTGTGCCCAAGCTCCTGGGATATCTGACGATCCAGTGTATTCACAACTAAGATCCATACCCTTGGCAAAAGCAAGTGCGGTGCCTTGCGCAAGGGTTTCGACGTATTTGTGGTTCTCAGAGATATCTGCAACGGCTTCACAATCACTAGTGATATAGTTATTGCTATCCGTCCAGTTCCAGTGGTCCCTCAGGATTGTTTGAAGAACGTAGGTGTCAGCGCATGTTGGAATGCCGTTGACTGCATTGTAGCTGCACATGAATGACCCGACCTTGGAATCACGCGCACATTGCTGAAATGGTGGCATATAGTACTCTGCGAGGTCTTGCATGGTGATTTTTGCACTGAAGTTGTGTCGATCGTATCCTCCCCAAGCTTCCATGTCATAACCCACATAGTGTTTGCACGTTGCAATAATCTTCCTCTGAGCTTGGTCACCCTCGAGGCCAGCAAGAAGAGCTTTGGTGTACCCTTTGATTCTTCGAATGTCTTCTCCGGGGGATTCACTGGCTCGGCCCCATCGTATATCGCGAACGGGATTGATGTCAGGAGTCCAATAGTCCACAGGAGCGACTCCACCGTTTCCGAACGCTCGAGCCTCGTTCCCGATAATGTTGGCAATTTTGAAAATAAGATCATCATCAAAAGCCGCTGACATGAGGATTGGCATAGGAAATGAAGTAGCGTTTTTGTAAGGTTCGACGAATTTGATTCCTGGTGCTCCAGCTACACCGTGTAGAGCTTCGCCCCACCAGTTATACGCTGGAAGACCTAATCTTGACACACCCTTAGATTTACTAAATCTGTTAGAATAACTCTTTGGATGACTTGAGGAACTTGCATACCTGACGAGGTTATCCAGCTTTTCTTGCGGCTCCATAGCTGCGACGAGAGCCGCTGCCCTCTCATGAGGAGGCGCATTGACATCGCAAATCGCATTGGTACTCAAGGGACCATTGGTACAATCAGGACCGATTGCTGCATGTGACTTTGATATCAACGAGGCACCAAGGACCACGGCAGTAGAAAGGAAATGCATCGTGGCTGATCTCTGGACACGATTACAGCTTGAAGCAACGTATACACCGCCGGAGGTAGTCGACCTTTTATGGCGTGTCTACCATGCAGCTCCCAAGTACTAATGAATCGGTAAAATACATACGCGGATTGGCTCATGTCATATCTGATCAAAATTTACTCCGCCTTTTGCCGTAGATAGAAAAGTACCTTGTTACCCCGCGCGCAAGGCCCCTGGATCTGCGCAACGGTGTTCTGCGATCATCCCGACCAAATAAACGGCATTCAGCCACCGGCTTCAATGTGATGTGATGCGTGTATCACATCACTCTGCATACAAGCTCATCAATCCAATTCCCTTGAGAAAATTTATACCTGGACTGGGGCTTGGGTTCAGTCTGCTGTGGTAGTAGACAAAAGTTTTGTACGCAGACACTGAAAATAATAATCAGGCGCTTCTTGGGATGACTACAAATTCGTAGTTTATGGGAGAGAAATACGAGTCTTTTCTAAACAACTTCAAAGGACGCTACACTACATATAGCATAGCTCTCATTGCCTCCCCCAGCCTGTGTCAAGCTCTTACTGGCGGCCCACATACTATATGATCTTGGCCTGGTACCGCCACAGTACGACTCATCTGGATCGGCGGGAGAATCTAACATCCTTACTCCAATATGCATGCTTCAGAAAAGACCCGCAGCTCTAATCAAGAGCCGGCAACAAGCATGGAATATTCACTGCATACTGAATAGCAGCAATTGCAAAGTACCATCCAGAAACCAGCTCAGGAAAGCCAAGACGACTGGTAACTCGTCGAAAGATCTCAATGCGCTTAATTTCTGTCTCGACTGCATCAGAAATAAGATTAGAATGAGTAGCATCAACGAAGGGTAGTGCTAAGATAGAATCAAAGAGCTGGAAAAAAAGTGAAGAGAAAACACCAAAGGTATTATTACTAGGAAGCATAGAAATGGCGAAGATCCTGTGACATAGTCGGGCGCTAAGTTAAGATACTCGTGCTGACTGTATTGAAGGGCGGTATGCTTTGATCTGAAAAACTTTAGAAGCTTTTCAATATGCGATAAGTTACTATACACTGTCTTTTTAATCACGGAATACTAACGTGGTCTGATGGGTTGCGTGTCGATGATGTGGATGTGTCTTTTTATGCTGCCCTGGAGCTTAGTTTATCTGATGACTGCTGTGGAATGCTACACATAATGAAAATGGAAGGGTGGACCTAGATACTCATCGTTCACGATGAGCACAGCTATGCGAAACGTGGTATGAAATTGAATGATGTTATGAAGTTGAGACAACATTATGAACGTATCTCAAACACATTGTGACCAATTACGCAATCCACGATTAATGTGACATTCACGGCAAGCACTTTAGAAGGGCTGGTTAAGGAATACCCATCGTCTATGCGAAAGGGTTTTACGCGCCGGTAACCTCTGCTACACTTTCCAAAATATCCTATGAAATTCTCAGCAAAACTTTACTGATGACTATGTGGACAGTTTTCGGGAGGCTAATCAATGGTAGAATTCTTTACATTAGTTCTGCGGATAGCCGAATAACGAGATTTTGGAATGGAATGACGACTAAACAGAGTGCTAACAATGTTAGAAGATTCATTGGTATCTGCCCTGAAAGTCTAACTTTGAGAATCTATTGATAGCCACCATGTTCTGGTGACATATCCTCGCCCTCCACTTCTCTTGCCAGAACGGAAAGTAATTCCTAGAGCCCCACATGGGCCACCTTCGAGAAACATACTGCATTGAGAAGACTTCTTACCGTTCAAGTGGCAATGGAGCTCCATTTCTTTAATATTTCAGTTTAATCATTTGTGGCACGAGTCTTGTGCAGAGACAATGCGTTGCGGAAACAATAATGGTGAATGTTTTCGCCCGCGTTCTCGTCTTTGAGTTCTAAGCGGAATTCCAAGAAAGTCTAGAGGCACAG